TGCTATGACCCCTTCCTCATAAGGGGCAGAGACTAATTTTCTTGAGCTCTCCGAGATGATCTGCTTGTTGATACCTAGTCTGTTGGCTCTCTTCCAAGTCTAAAACTTTATGACCCATCCTTTCAACTTTAATCCCGCTTTTACAAAGAGCTTCCTTTTGCCTTCAGGGAGATGCCATCCAGGCTCCATTGTCTGCAGGACTTTGTCAGTAAGCCTCCATGACCATCATTTTCCTTTCCACCATTTGATGCGTTGGCTACTGTAGTTCTTCCCCAACTGGAGTGTGAATTACAAGGGCCTGGGAAGCTTGTCATAAATGCACCTTCTCAGGTCCTGCCTCACATGATTGTGGTCCAGAGGGGCTGAAGTGATGCCAGAAAGCTGCATTTAACTAGCACTCTAGGGAATTCTCTGCACATGATCCAAATTGCCTGCTTTAGGAAATACTAAGCCTCACCTTCTGTATTGCGTCAAGTCTGCATGTGCTTGTTTTGATTCAAGACATGGGATTTGCAGCATTTAGAAGGGATGGACCTGAGGATGGCCTTTTCACTGTGAAAAAACGTTTAGCTGAGCACTGTCGAGCCTTGCTACTCAGCTTGTGGTCTGCAGACCAGCAGCCTCTTTTAACATGGAAGCTTGTCACACATGCAAAAGCTTGGCCCCACCCCAGACCTTATGACTCAGGGTCTGCATTTTAACAAGGCTTCCAGGTGATGCACGTGCTCACTGAGCTGTTGGGAGTACAGCTGTAATGACCAGAACGTGGGTTGGGACTGAAGCTGACTTAGGTTTAATTTTTGGTGCCATAATTTATCAGTTCTGTGAACAGGGTTAGTGGCTTCACCTCATTGAGTGTCTCCTAAGGAGTGAAATGCAAATAATAGATATTGTGACTATTATTTGATTTAATGCCCCTCTATGATCTTGATAGGTATATTGTCTAGGAAAAATCTTGACAAATAATAGTGCTTCATAAATGTGAGTTTCTTAGCACTCTTTCTACCTTAATTAATAGTGGCTAAAATTTATGTGGGGAATATGGAAATTGCTTAAGAAACTGAAGTGTTATTTAAACACTACAGGCAGACCATTTTGATATCTAGACGTGAACAGACCAGGGATACTTTCTGTAGGACTGAAAGAAAAGAAAGGTGAGGATAGGGAAGAAAAGACTTCAGGGATGGGTAACAAAGGTGACTGAGTTCTCCCCAGTGATGCCACAAGGATCAGGCAGTGTGGAATTGGAGGCTGAGAGGGGAGGCCAGCCGGCCAGCGAGGACAGCTTGCCCATGACGGTCTGGAAGGTGCCAGAGAGACGGCAGTTATGCTGGGAGTGAGTCAGAGAGGGCTGCCCATCAGATGCCAAGTTTCAGCGTGGGCAGGATGAAACCTGCAGACGTCGTGAGCTTTGGAGATGTCTTAGGCAAGGCACTCTGCAGCATCCCGGGACAGCTGGGAACCTGGAAAGGTGCCACCACAGCCAGCACACCCTCCCGGTATTACTTGTATGTCCGGAGAGGCAGTTGCAGCCTCTAGAGTCAGGAGTCTCCACTCGGCCTCTTACCACCTGTGCACTTTGGGCAGGTTACTTAACCTCTCTGAGCCTCTTTTTGTTTTCAATATACAGCTAATGACAGAATCTATGTCGTAGAATGAGAATGGGA